AAAGAGCGGTATCAAAATCCTGATGAGTGATATGAATGCGAAACTGGGAGGAGACAATACAGGAAGAGAACTCACCATGGGTCATGAGGCCCTCGGTGAAATGAACGAAAATGGTGAACTCTTCTCAGGCTTCTACGCCTTCAGTGAATTGTTGATTGGTGGCAGTATGTTCAAACACAAGGATATATACAAGGCCACATGGATTTCACCAGATGGACAAACCAAAAACCAGATAGACTTCATTTCAATCTCAAGGAAGTGGAGACGGAGCCTACTGGACACAAGATCGAGGAGAGGAGCAGATGTGGGTTCAGACCACTATCTAGTACAAGGGACTTTCAAGGTGAAGCTAAAAGCCTCAAGGATACCTGGGGATAGGCCACAATGCAAGTTCAACACGCATAAACTGAAGGACACAATCACACAGGACATTTTCACTGCAACTGTCAGAGCAAAGCAGGAAACACTACGAGGCACTACTGAGGAATCATCCGTGGAAAACCATTGGAACTCTCTGAAATTAATTTTCAATGAAACGTGTTCAACGCTTTTAGGAAGAAAGAAGAAACAAGACAAGGAATGGCTCCCAACGGACACTTGGAAGCTAATAGAGGAGAGGAGAATGGTGGAAGAGAAAATGATTCAATGCAAAGACGGACCTTAGGAGGAGATGCTGAGTCCAAATTACACAGCACTGGACAAAGAAGCTAAGAAGAGTGTCAGGAAGGACAAAAGACAATTTCACGACAACCTGACTACTGAAGCTGAGAAGGCAGCAGGCAAAAGGGACCTGAGGACATTATATCAGATAACCAAGTCTCTATCCGGGAAGAGATCAACACAAGTGAAACCTATAAAAGACAGCCAAGGGAACCCAATTACCAAAGAAGAAAGACAGATTAAACAATGGGCGGACCACTTCAAAGGACTTTTGAACCGACCACCACCTGCAACCCGTCCAGAAATACCAACAACAGCACGTACACAACTGCGAGTTGACACCAATCCTCTTGATTGCAATAAAGCTTCTGAAAGCTGGAAAATCAGCTGGTCCAGATGGAATACCCCCAGAAGCACTGAAAGCTGACCCAGAGACGACAGCAGATATGCTGACTCCATTATTGCAAAAGATCTGGAAGGAGGGAAAGGTGCTTACTGGCTGGAGGAAAGGTGACCTCGTGAAACTACCAAAAAAGGACGACCTAGGACTCTGCACGAACTGGCGAGGAATCATGCTACTGTCGACGCCAAGTAAAATCCTGAGTCGCATCATCCTGGAGAGAACAAAGGACACACTGGATACAGAACTCCGACCAGAACAAGCTGGATTCACGAGAGGCGAATCATGTTCTGACCAAATGGCAACGCTACGCATTATTATCGAACAAAGCATGGAATGACAATCAAACCTATACCTCAACTTTATAGACTTTGAGAAGGCCTTCGACAGCGTTGACCGCGAAGTAATTTGGAAACTACTCGAGTACTACGGCGTACCGCAAATATTCATCAACCTTATTCAACAACTGTACGACAACGGCACATGTCAAGTGATCCACAACGGAAAACTCAGCGAAGCGTTTGGAGTAAACACAGGAGTCAGACAAGGGTGCTTATTATCACCAATGATATTCCTGATTGTGGTGGATTGGATTATACGTCAGACAGTGGGAAACGAGAAGACTGGGATATACTGGACCGACGTGAAGAATCTAGAAGACCTGGATTTCGCGCGTGAATGATTTATGTTTGATGTCACACAAGATCGAAGACTTACAAGTGAAAACCGACAAACTGGTCGAAGAAGCAGCAAAGACAGGACTCCAGGTGAACATAGACAAGACGGAGGTTATGAAAATAACCAACCAACGACAACAACCGCAGCAGCAACATCCAGCGCCAATCACCATCAACGGGAGGGATTTGAAAGAGGTTACTTCATTCACTTATCTAGGGAGCATTGTCTCAGCTACAGGAGGAACGGATGAGGATGTCAAATCGAGAATCGGGAAGGCGAGAAACACATTCATCAACCTGAAACCAATCTGGAAGTCTTCATCACTCAACTCAGCATCAACAACAAAATTCGGATTTTCAATACAAACGTCAAGTCAGTTATTCTATACGGATCAGAAACTTGGCGGGTCACAAAGAATATTTCCAACAGCCTGTTGCAGACCTTTATCAACAACTGTCTTCGCTGGCTCTATACTGAAGATCAGATGGCCGGAAAGAACAAGAACCAACAAGAAACTATGGGAACAAACAAAACAGGAACCAATCGCTCAACAAATATGCAGGAGAAAGTGGAGATGGATTGGACACTCGGTGAGGAGGCCAGTGTTTGACATCGCGCGTCAGGCCAACGCTCGAGTGGAATCCGAAAGGGAAGCAGCGAGTGGGACGTCCAAGGGTGACATGGAGGAGATCGTGTGAAGAGGAGTTGAAACAGTATGGACTAACATTGATGCAGGTGAAAAGTACAGCAGAATACAGAAGCAAGTGGAGACGTGCAGTTGAAGTCCTATGTTCCACTAGGAACCCAAGGGAACAATAATAAAACTAAATTGTTCACCATAGGATCCTTTAACCGAAAAAGCTTATTTCTAACTGCGTTCGTGTGTAACTGAATGCCACTTTTATATCTACCTCATTAAGAATTCTACGTAAGTTTTTCGAGGTTCTTTCTTTGTATAGAAGTACTACTGATTATTTATATTCCCTATTTTTGCTATTGTCATTATTCTGTACAATTTTGACATGCATGTCGTCATTAATATTATTATTATTTTTATAACTATCACTATTACCATTATTATTTATTTTTCTTTTTACATTTTCCAACGTACTTTCTGATTAATTCATCAGAGTAATTATTAAGTTTGAAGGCTGCCTTAGATTTTTCCTTGGTACTATTTAGTTTTTCTGCCCTATAACTTAAACATTTCAGCAATCCTCTTTATACTGACATAGGGTGGAATGATCGGAAATCCAATATTGGTTTGAATGTGTGGGTTTCCGATAAACACCAGTGTTTAACTTAGCACCTTCTTTCCTTTTTATACTACAATGTAACACTGACAGGTCCCCTTCCTGACTTTCTGATTCGAGTTGATGTGTTCCAAAATGTTTGGGGCATATCCTAAAGTTTTTGGAAGCCCTAGCTGGCAATTAGAAAATTTGAACCTCCTTTGTGCGTTCAAAAACAATTCGTCATCACACTAAACCTTCCTTGGTAAACTTCGATTTGATACCAGCCAGGATAGATGTACTATTTGTTACCTCTATAATTTGGTTTAGTGATCTTCATTGTTATTTTGACCCTCAATATGTCCTTTTCACTTGATCTAAGTATAATTTCTCACGTCTTAAATATTTATTAATTTCACATATATTCCTAGGACAAGTCCGTGTGTGATCAGATTGTTCTAAGTGTGTAAGTGTGTATATACATTACACGATTCAGAGAAATTACGTCTTCTTATTGCTTTGTATACATAAACCCCTGTTAAGTTAATTTTGATTAATTTTCCTGAAGAAGTTCGGACCAGATTGCCGAACGAAACGTTGGGATTATTCATTTCAATTTCGCTGAAAGTTTACAAATATAATTTATACAAATGTCTACTTTTCCCTCGAAGCCCAATTATTTTGGAACTATTCGGTCAAATCTTGATCACAGTTCATAAGAATATATATGTATATATTTGCTACCACTGCTACTACTCCTGCTGTCTGCGTGTACCACGACTTTGTTAAGAAGTATGGTTTTAATAGAACAAATCGTGGAAAATACCCATCGGGACATTAGATTGAAAAGAACAAGAAATTCAAACAAAAATTTTGAAGCAATGGCGAAAAAATGTAGAAGTAGAAGTGGTTGAGCATGCAAAGCAATGGACACTCCTGACAGTTTACAAAGATAATTTTCACATATGTCCACGTCTCAAATGTCCTCCAATTATTGTGCTACTATTTGGTCAAATCTTGACCACAATTCATATCAAGTAAAATAATTACCTAAATGAATAATTACCAGTCAGTTTCGAATGACTTGATTTAATACCAAACACATTCTGCAAAACTTACTCCACATTCTTCGACAAAACTCTCCTGATAGACAATAGGCGTCATTGGATAGTCAGGGTCGGTCGTCATATTCTTGACGATTTGTATGACTTTCATAAAGTGATATTTCTCTAATTCAAAGTAGTCATCATTAATTCCCATTTTTTGCATGAATTCAACTATCTCCGGATTCGACTTCCTGAAGAGAAAAGGGAAGGAAAGGGGAGAAAGCGCTTCAGTTTACTGATTCCATGTTCTTAGTCAGTGATCGCTTAAAATCACCTACAGTGGAGTCTCGTTATCAACAAATCTTCAGTTGTGATTTGTGACTGAATGATTGATTGACAAGAGAATTAATCAGAAACTCTAGATGAGGATATTTGTGTCACTCAATGGAAGGAAGTGGATGAGATGGATGACTGCCATAATATTCGGTATTCTAATAAAGATTTGACAGTAAGCAGGAGAACTTATCCAGCCTGTTGGAGAGTTATCTACGTCAGTTGATTGTCAAAGTGAAATCGTGTTTGGTATTGAAAAGTCAAATACTGTGGGATTATCGTGCTTCACAGTTTATCTACCATTGAGTTATACATACCAAGACAGACCGCAGTGAGTGATTCACAGTCAAGTGTTTATATCATAATGATAGATATATTAATAATAATAATAATAATAGTAGTCAATCATGTATGGCTAGTATTGGAAATCAGATGGTGACAGAGGTTGCAATTCACTGTTCCCTGTGCACACAAATCACTAAATAATGATACGTAATTGAAATAATGAGAATATTGTTTAGATGAGACCAGTTCAGCCTCCGTTCATCTCAAGTGGGAGGGAAGGATTGAACTTTCAGTTAAGCATGAGAATATACGTGTGCTATAACAATCCACTTTCTCTTAATCTTACTGAAAATCAAGAAAACTCACCAGCATTCATAATCTACCTCGTTGCCGCCAAGATGAATATAACTGTCATGAAATCTACCAATGACTTCTTTGAAGAATTGCTTCAAAAACTCATACGTGGATTCATTGGCTGGATTCAGTGGACCGAATTTCCCGTTTGGCTTGGAATCATTATAACATTTTGTCAGTATGTCTGGATATGCTTTTCCCCATGACAACATATGTGCTACAAAGGATGATTGTGTTGAAGAGTGAGAATTACTTTGACAATAACCAGTCATTATAATTACTGACATTGAAAATAATTTGCCTATCTGACATAGAGCCATTGACTTGTATGTTCACCCTCTGAAACTGGATGTCAGCTATGATGTTTTCTGAAACAATCTAGTTTTCTTCACATATATCGGATGCATACTTCACATCAACTACATCCGTTCACTTGAGAATCATTTCTGAGACGTTAAATGGATTCAGCGAACACTGGAAACACTCACTGACTCTACAACTAATGACATTCACATATTTCTGCTGTTGGAGTCATCGTCAAATTGTCTGCTTTTATCAGTGGGTTGAAGAGAAATAAATACAATTAGATCGGATGTGAGGAAAAATACTCGCCAATGACATTCTTTGGCTGTCGCGTTAAGATAACGAATAGAAAAAAGTGGGGATTCATGCTTCATTCTGCAAATTTGCCGTGTAACTGTAAGTAACTGGGTTCGAATATCGGTGATGACGTCCTGCATACTACTGAAGAGTCTCAAACATGTACAAAGCAGCCACTCATTAATCGCCGGTAATCAGTAGTTCCCCAACTAACATCGATAAGTGATCAAACACGAAAACAATCAAATCCCTACCAACTCACCCTTCGAAATCATAAACCTTGAATAATCTGAATTGAACTGCAAAGTGGCCAAAACGTTCATAAAAGATTAGTCTTTCAAGTGACTCACCATCAACTCATTTCATCAACTTGGTTGAGTACATCTCAATATACAGATTCAGATATAAACTGCACTCAATTTCCTAAAGGTGTGACTATCTGTCTTCAATTCATGGCTAGACCTTTCATTCTCAGCATTATTTCAAAACTGTTTGCACACTGATACAAATATTTGCTTGACACAAACTACTTCAGATGGATGAAATTTGGTTGATAATTGCATGAATTTACATGTCGTTAACGTTACCTACCTGGAGTATCAAATTCTGGAATGATCCGGACTCCACGGAGACGGGCGTATTCCAATAAATCAGATACTTCTTCTTCGTCATATGTACACTTTTGTGGATGATATGCACCCTGTTCAGATTTAGACGAGAATCAGAATTATCAAATGACTGGACTCTAACCTAACTCACCTTGTCTGACAGTTCTGGATAGGTGGTTGAGACAAAGGGAAAAGATTGGTCATCTGTGATATGCCAATGAAGGACATTCATTTTAACAATAGCCATGATATCCTGTGAACAGAAGACACTATGTTCTACATAACACTTCTTACTATCATTTTCCGTAGGATTTCAACTGACATGAAGTTCCTCGCAGTATCTATCAACAATCCACGGTGTGAGAATTCTGGTTCATCTATTATATCACCTTGAAATACCACATTCTACGTAAAATGCATTGATGCGAAAAATCTTCATTCAAAACAAAACTCACTCCTCCAAATTTACCCTTGTATACCAACTGAAGTATTGTTTCAAGCGCATGTATTACACCCCAAACTTCCATGGAAAGTATGTTTATTTCAGTATCTCTTATGGTTATATAGTCTGACAATTGAGGAGCGAAATCATTAGCTGTGGTGTAACTTACATGATTCATCCATGGAAACATTTGGCCATAATTTATTTTTACTTTCGTCACATCCATCGTCTATTTTGATTTTCAATTCGCTTATGTTGCATTTTATCTCATGTTGCTGAGAGATTCGCGGATGTTGCAGTGCTAGTCGACGTTGAAATCTCTTCAGATAGTCTGTGAGTACAAAGCATGCTGGGTAGTCATTCTGGTAGTTGAGTGGACGCTGTAAATAACAGGCTGTCGAACTCCTGTTGTAATGTGACGGTTTCGGGACTAATGCGAGTGTATATTTCGAGTTGGCGAGCAGAAATACAATCAGGAATAACACAGAAGTGAACAGCATGATTATTTTGTCTTCGTCAATATCTTTCTCACTCAACTCTCAGCACGTTTTATACTAACGTCGAAATGGATTTTGGACCCTTCCTTACAGCGAGTGATAAATGATAAAATTAACACACAGTCGAATCACGATATCAATAAAGTATTTTTGTATTTGTCGATGTTAAATTAGATTTAGTTGTGTTGTTAAAGTGTCAGTTTTCATTATTGTTTCATCTTACTTCGTGTGTACCTGTGTGCGTGTGTATGTGTGTGTCCACAACATGTAATAGATTATATCAGAGTAGGATTTGAGCACTGTGGTACAGTAAGCCCCATATTAGATAAATATATTTGATGTAATGAACACTGATACATTGTTAGTAACTGGATTACGCCTCAAGCATAATTCATTGCTCATAATCCTACAAATTTATTCACAAGACCACATAGTTCACTCTTGGTTGATGAAATAATATTAGGTGTTCAGCTATGTCTCACCTCCACTGTCTTCGAATCCCAAAGAGAAAATGAATGGACAAACGAACGAATGGTGTGTCAGTAGGATCATCAACCCCCCACCACCACATAGTAGTAGACATTTATGGATAGGTGGGAAAATACAGCCCTTAGAAATTTCATTACTTCTCCTAGGTTATGTTGGAAAAGGTGGGGATGATGCATTCACTTTGTTGAAATCTCAGCATTTCTCTCACTTCTTCACACATATGAACTCAGTAGGAGATGCAATCCAATTCACCCTTGAGTTAGAAAATGAACGAGGTGAGTTGACCATTCCAGACTGTAAAATAAAACGAATTAAAACAAGATTGTGGGATTCTTCGTGAAGCCGAGAAAGGGGTGGCTGTCAAACGAACCAACTGTCTCAATAGATAGAGTGTATCGGCTTAAGGACCCGACTGATCCAACTAAGACAAATTTGTGAAACAACATGCAATGACTCTGAGGTCAGTTACATAGGTCAGACTGTTAGGTCACGGTCAGTTAGGTTATCAGAACACAGAAATTTAGCCAGACCTAGAATGATTGGCCGTGTTGAGTTAAATAACCTAGAAATAACTCATCCATTGCAATGCATTCACCCAATATGCTGGGATTGAGTGAAAGTATGAAAAGCGATATATTCATGTGAAGATAGAGGTCAATCACTGAGTCTTTAATCATCCAATCAGTAAGTAACACATTCAACCGAAAAAACACACTGTCTAAACAGAATCCATACAGAAAATTGCAATAGACAAGAAAGGGGAAATAAAGGGAAGATATTTATACATATGTGGAGCAAATTATGAAATTCCGTGGATGAATTGATATGATTATTAGCAAAACATTGTGCTTAAAAGATAAACAACTTAATAGTGCTGTACTAATGTGTCAAATAAACTTGTCTAACATGTGGTGAAATTCAACATCTTATACTATATAAAAAGAATTGTCTCCATGCTCCTGTGAGCTGAACCCTTTCAGTTTTGTCTTCTTCTTCTGATTTTCGTTACAATGGTACTATTACTACAACAACAGCTACTACCAATAATAATAAAAATGTTGTTATCAAAGAACAGAAAGCAAATCAATCGTTTGTTGTTTCATATTGCTGCTTGACATCAGTTATTATGACTACTCAGATTCGATTCCGAGTGCTGAATGGACTTTCAGTAGTCCACTTCCATTTCAACGTGCTCTGTGCAGTCCGCCTTGGCTGGCTTCACGATTTCCCGTAAACTTTCATTATCTCCGCACACGATATCTTGAATGTCACACTGGGACTTACGCTCACCTCAAAGATTCCCATTTGCATCAAACTGATGTGTTTGCCACTCCATGTCATTTACTGGTCTCCTCAGTGTGCGTCCAATCCATTTCCATTTTCTTCGGCACGTTTTTTGTTCAATGTGCTCTTGATTACTTCAGTTGCAGAGTTTCATGTTGCTTATCCTCTGTAGGCATCTAATCTTCAGCATTGATTGAAGGCAAGTGTTGATGAAAGTCCACCTTAACCTTTTGATAATGGTCCACTTGACGCGTCAAGTCTCTGAACCAAGTAGAAGAACTGATATGACATTAGTGCTGATAATTCGAACGTTTTTATGTATGCTGACTGCAGGAGATTTCCATACTGAATTCAGACTAATGAAGATCTGCCTTGTCCTTCTGATCCAGGCTCTCGCACCTGCATCCGTTCCGACTGTAGTTGAAATGGTGCTTAAATAAACGAAATAAGTGATCTCCTTCAAATTCCTTCAATGTATGTCACTGATTCTTGTAGTTCGAACTGGTGGTTAACTTTCCATTTCGAATCTATCTTCTCTATTCTCGTTTGAATTTCTATCTCGGTTTCTTCTTAAGCCAAATTAATTGTAACCACCTGTAGATTATTGAGTTTGTGTGACATCAAACAGAAGACGACGGCAAAGTCCGAACACGTCGTGTGGCTCCACACTGTCTGGCGTGTTTTCCGTTCACCCTTATTCGGGAATACCATTGATGGTATTCAAAAGGTTTGCTTTACTCCTGGCTCTACTTCAGAGTCATTGTCGAGTTTTCCTCAGTGGGTCACTCAACATGTGAAATTATCATATGGTTGTTGAATTAGGTTAATAATTAATTGGGGCACTTCGTGGTGTTGAAACAGTTTACAAATAACTTCGAGGTCAACTCTATCGAAGGTCTGCTCAAAGTCGACAAAGGTGAAGTGGAGATTTGACTGCTATTCTACGCTTTGTACAATGATATGGACAGCATTCCGATTAAACAGGTACACGATTCGCTTTCCCTGAACTCAGTTAATTCCGGGCGGACGTCTGTATAGAGAGCACCTTTCAGTTTTTCGCATAACGACACTACTAAATAAACCGACCTTTCTTGTGATTTTGACAAGGCCTGCTTCCTCACGATGAGTAGGCATATTCATTCTTTCAACCATTTTCCAATAGTGGTGTCGAGATATCTGCTGAAGTCTCTCCGAAGTCTCTGTGACCTAAAGCCTGTTATGCTGTGGTTGCTAGAGTGTCGTAGACCTGTCTCATATCACTTCTTTACTTCTGTTTACAGTGCGTTGTGTACTGAAGCCAGCTTCTCCTCCCGTTGTTGCAGTTCGTTTTTCCAACCCCATCTGTTCGCTTAGCTTCCAGCCGTCTGTCGAAAGCTATTTCTTGTCTTTCCACTTCCTTTTTCCTACGCGTTCTGGGAAGCTTTCTCACAATGTCATCTACAAAGTGTTCCATTGTACTTCCACAAAGGTTTCCTCTGTGATGCTACACACTGTCTCAGATTTCACTTTACTGGTTGCAGCGGTGTCTAATGTAGTTTGGTCTCTCAGTTTCTGAGTGTTCAACTTGAACTGGTCTATCTTCTACTGTTCTGAAGATTTTCGACTCGACCATGAAGCTTCCTTAAACTAGATGGTGGTCTGAGCCTACATCTGCTCCTTATCTCGATTTTGAGTTAAGCAGACTATGTCTCCATTCTCGTGAGGCTGTGGCATTTGGTGTATCCGACAAGTGAAGTGCAAGTTGCTTTGTGTAAATCTTTGTGCTGGTACACGCCGCCTCCAACCAACAAACTACCGAAGGCGCAAATTCTGTAAATAGTTCTCAGTTCTCATTCATTTCGCCAAGGGAGAGTCTCTCGACCCAAGATGAGTTCTCTACCTGCAATTTCCCCCCACAGTTCATCATTCACATTAGGCATTATGATTTTGGAGTCTTGTTAATTATTGTTTAAAGCAGTCTGTAGAATTCTTCCTTCCTTTCATGTTCTGTATTGCTTGTAGGCAGACAGTATTGTAGAATTGCAGCTTTCCTTCCTTTTGAGTTGAATATCGCTGTCAACATGCTGCGTGAGGTTGTTTCCCGCTGTACGAGATCTCTGAATACTGTAGGTGACATTATTATATCCACTCCCTCAGTATGCTCATGGTTGTCATCTGTGCAACCAGAAGTGTTTACTGACTCAGCAGTTAACGATTTTCAAAGCCCACTTGTATTCCACCTACCCTCACACGTTCATGAAGCGTATTTGTTATTTCTCCTCATTTCTTCAGCCGACAAAGCAGCCTTCCCAACTGGATGCAGTGTGCGAGCATCGCGCGTCCCAATGTTTATTTTCGCCTTCATAGAAAGAATAAACAATGGCTGACTGGCTTCCCATGGGTTTTCACCAGCCCACGTTCCAGTTAATGACAAGTCGGGGTTTTATACTTTTCTTGTGCTTTGAAGTGTCTGTAGTCATCCGACTGATTTTCTGGGATAGAGTAACTAGCCCTTCGACCGACCCTCCATCTTTTTCAGGGCCTGGGACCAAGTAGTAAATCAGACGATGTTCTCATCCATCAGTCAAATGACAACCACGGAAACCAATCTCAAGCTCGTTCACTCATCAGATTTATTCAGAGTGAGGAATGAATCGCATGAAATATGTCTCTACTCTGTCTGTTCAGTCAACTTTGTTTGTGTTATGCATTTTCGAATGACTTGAAGGTAGGAAGCATTCTGAGATCCATTACATTTCTTCGTCATAGTTGCATAATGAATGAATCTTTACGGAAATTTGAAGTAATTCATTTTGGACGTGTTTCTGTCTAATAGGAAATAAATCAAAGAGCAAACGTCAAATTTCTTCATAAGCTGAACGATTACAGATTCTGCAAGTGGTTGTGAAGGTCTGAAATGTGTAAGAAGACGAATGTTTTCAAATAACACTAGGACTGATGGTTTTTACTGAAGTCTGTTCGCGCATTTTAACTAACGCCAGACAAATTTAAAGAGATAAGCCATGACGTTTTATTCACTGAAGAATACTACTACGGGTAAACTACACTAAACAATTTTAAACTCCATGCAATATCTCTCTGGTGCAAGGGATAGACAGTCTTCAATGATCAATATAGATAAATTTGGTAGGTAAGTGAGAAGGTTAGACAAGGTGCAGTGTGATTTTGTTCATGTGGATAATTCCTATGACTGCCTGTACACACTGACTTCGACTGAATTTTCATTCTCATTTCGTGAAGCAATATTGTCGTCAGGATTCTTTGATAATACCGTATGCAGTTCTGATCTTTCAGGATGCTTGGGAAGAGTATGTTTAGATCTCTATCATTTAATATCTAAGACTCTGCATAGGTATTTGC